CGTCGTCGGATGAACGCGGCGAAGCTTTTAAAAAGCCGAGGGTCTCGATTCGAGTCGTTATTCGTCGCGAGAACATCACTCGAGAATCTTCTCCTCTCCAAGACCATCGCCATACCAACGTGCAACTCGCAATTTATCTCTCCGGCACATTCAACGCAGCATCCGTCACGTGCTAATTCCTCTCGTAATAGATCGATATTTATTATCGTAAACGACGGAGACGCGCTTCTTCGGCTCTTACCAACTCTTGAGAATCTCGGTTGGATGCGCCGCGTCGTGAAATCTCGATGCAATTCACCGGCGGACCGATCGTATGGAAAATCCATCGGAGTGTCAATCCGCACCTCTTGTTGCCGCATGCTCCGAAACATTTCCAAGAAACCACCAACTTGTAGAAATATTTTGTCCACAACTGAAGCTACGTAAGACTGTCTAGGTAGCGGCAAGATGTCCAAATCGGTTTGTCCCAAGCTGCTAACGATGACTGAAGTGAGACTTGATACTCGCAGTTGCAGCATTTAATGTTATCAGTGGTAAAAAGGAGGAAGGAACGAGAAGTCCGGGCTCGACTAACAAGTCTAGACCGTGAAAAATTCGGAGGCAGTCAACTTGCGAATGCATTGATTTATTAACAGATGGACGACACCTTCGAAACTTTGTACGCTTGTCAAATGCGGACCTAGAATATCTGCTTCGAGGTAGACAGCAATATCGCCCGACAGATCTCCGAGGAGCATTTGTTTCTCTCGCCTGCCACGTGTTGCCGCGTGTTTCCTATTTTTCATCGATCTTTATCGCGCCGGCAACAAGTGGCGACATTTGTTGCCGACAACAGAAGCACGAGGAAAACTTGACAAACACTCGCCGACAAGCGGCGAATTTTTCAAGATACACACATGGAACGTCAAGAAAAGAATTCCTCGTTGTTGGTTCAGTGAGGACGCAGCTTTAACCTGCTTATCGGTATCGTTTGAACGTTGAGGGAGGGGAAGGGACTTTGTAATCGAACGACGTAACGCAGCGTTGCAAAGAAAAATACCAGCGTATTATCGCGGCGTATATCGCGAGTCCAGTCGATTACGAAACGTTTGCCACTCATCAGTGGCGATTCTTATTCCAACAGCCCACCTCCAGCCTCCCTTCTCGATACCCGCACTAGGTCGCTGTTAAAATCGCCCACGTCGTTCGCGAAAACACTGCCGCTACGATCAAGTTCAGAATACGAAACTGGACTAGTTAGGTCCAGTTAAACCAGAGAGCGAGCGAGCGAGCGAGCGAGAGAGAGAGAGAGAGAGAGAGAGAGACTGCCGACTCGTTAACCGCGGTGTAATGGATATGAAATTAAATAATTGCTTCGATAGGCATTCCACGTGGATGGCCACGCGAACGATATGGCTTTAAATAAAGTAATTTCTGCCTCGACAAGCAAGAAGCTACTTTAATCGTGCGTCTAGTCTTTTCGGCCACTGTACACGTAGCGTTCGTTCGTTGAGATAGGATAGAGGAGAGGGGGAGAGCAAGAGGAACGATTGAATCGGGCGGGACGATACGTGACTACTTTATTAAAAAATGTAATGTAAAACAGTTAAGTAATTGGCAGGTACAAAGACGCGATTCCTTTCTACACGTCATGGTATCTACAGTAAGCGTTGTCCTCGATCAGCTCCTGAGGGATCAGCTCCTCCGCGGGGAACTGATGCGACATGGTCACCGCCTGGTTCTCCGCTTCCTTCAACACTCTCAACAAATTTCTACCGACCAGTTTCTTGATATCCGAAGCTGACCATCTTCGATCTCTGGTCAACTCGGCCAATAGCAAAGGATATGCAGAAACGTCCGGAAGTTCGACAGGAGGGCTAACGATATTGCGGTTTATCAGAATACTTCTTTCACTCGTATCGGTTTATCAGTTTTGTACAAGTACACACACCACTTACCTCGATATACCATCGTAACCAGCTCCAAGACCCACGTGGTTCACGCCAGCTATTCGCCTGATGTGATTTATATGAGCTGCAAAGACAAGCGCAACACGATCGTTCTCTCTCACGCTCCAGTTCGCGTTCATCTTTTACCGCGCGAAACTTTTTTTCTCACGCGATAAAATAGCAATTGGACGCACGCATACCTATCACGTCGCGCATGGTAGCTTTATCGCCGCAGCTCAAATGCGCGCTGTCGAAGCTGACCATAACCAGACCACCGTTCAGCGACTGAAACAACCAAGAGGGAAGAACATCCTAAACTAAACGGACTGATCAACGTCCGCGTCGATCGACCAGCGACGAATGGACGGACGGAGCCTCGTTCAACTTTCTTTTCTCTCACCAAGTCACGAAGCACGTCGTCCGGAACGTTGCTCGACGAATTACAGAGAGCTCTGGCCGCGCTGTGTGAAAATATCACCGGTCCTTTGCTAACCGCCAACGCGTCCCTCATCGTTCTTATCGAGACGTGAGACAGATCAACCAGCATCCCTAATCGATTCACCTCTCTAACCACCGCTTTGCCGAACACCGATAATCCGTCGCTGTGAAAGTCGAACGCCGCGTCCGAGTTTGGATCCTCTACCGAACACGAATCTGCCCTGTTATGCCGTATACGTATACTTTTTCTTTCCATCGAAACTGAACCGATATACCGTCGTACGTCATACGAACACTTACCACGGGGTGTTGCATTTGTGTGTCAGTGTCATGTATCGAGCTCCCAATCGATGGAAACTCCTCAATACCGCCATCGATGTTCCAATGCTATGACCACCCTCGATCCCTACAAGACTCCCGATCACACCATCCTTGTGCGCCTTCTCAAGCTCCTTGCTGCTCGTTACCAGTCTTATTTTCTTTGGATACCTCGCGGCGAGTCTTCGTACCACGTCTATCTGTTCCAGGGTGAGCTGCACCGCGTCCAGAAATTGTGCCTCGCAAGGAACGTACACCGACCAAAATTGTCCACCAACGATACCCTGTCGTAATCGTACCAGATCGGTTTGCCATTGAGAGCCCCAGCTCTCGTTTCGAGATAAGTTCTCGTCGAAAGGAAAGTCCTGCAGTTTTGTGCTTCCCTGGTGTTTTCGAAGGTTCCACGCCAAGTCGTTGTGCCTGAAAATTACTCGGGGGTTAAATTTTGTGGGAATGTATGCTTCCTCGTCTGTGCATACGAGATCGCTTACCCATCGATCAGAGGTATTTCGGAGAGCATACGTCGCACCACTTGAAGCCTAGTCTCCAATAAATGGGAGCTTCGTAGTTCTAAGGCTAGAGGTAATCCTACACCAGCGACCAAGGCACATCCAAGAAAGAAGAAGCCTGCCATCACTATCCATTTTCTCACCAGGCTCCGTCCTGCGTATCATACCACCAAAAACTCCTCCTTTTACAATTTCCATTGGTAGTCGTTGACGAAAAGAGAGAAAGGTAGGGAAATGAAATCTCGAAGCGAAACGTCTTCGTCTTTTCCTCCTCGATCGACCAACAGAATAGCCTGTTACGCCGCGCCGAACAAACTCGCTGACGTGCGAAATTGGAGAAAAGAGAGGAAAGCGAGATATTCCATTAGTACTATTCCAGTACGCTTGCGATTCATAGTTTCATAGCCGCGAAACCTACGTTTCCGTAAACGTTCCTCTCAGCCTAATATGCAATTGAACTATATCGAATATACACGTATCGTTGGTGAATCCTTTACCGTAAACGTACCGCTTTCCCTTCCTGCTTCTTTTCCCAAATTTCCTTTATCCAAAGAAGTCGAAACCCCCGTGTCCTTCGCATAGTGCACCGCATCGCCATTAGGCAATTTTCTCATTAGTTCTGGAGACGATAGCTGCAAGCAAGTCTGCAAAGATAAACACATTTTTCTCTCTGCACGGGAATGTAATCGTATGCGAGCAGCAAAACGATCAAACTGTATTTAGCTAACGTGTTAGCGTTCGAAATAATGTACGGACGAAACGGGGAACCGGCATCGACGAATACACCGCATCGTTCAATCGATCAATTTCGTTGAATTACCTCTAATATGTCCACTTCTTTTCTTCTTGCCGGTGGAGACCGATAAACCATGCCATCTTTATTCACACCGTATAGCTCGAACATCGTTCGCTTCTTTCCGCGGTCGCTGCTCGCCCCTGTGCACTGACTACTTTCTCAACACCGTAAATACACCAACAGGACCGTCCCATTCGACGTAATACTACACGCATGCGCCAACTCCTGGTATCGACCCGACGCGACGCGACTCGTCAAACACTTTCGAACTCAAGGAAAATTTATGCATATGATCCAACACACTAACGAATAATCTGAAAGTAACTGACTAATTAATTCCCCGTAACAAATATTCGCTTATACTTAGGCAGCTATACGCACTTTCAGACCAATGTGCAATTTATGAACATCTTACTAGCTTCATATCATTCTGTTCATTCTTTTCAATTGTTTTTCCCCTTTTTATTCTCCTCCTCCTTCTTCCTCTATCTTTTTTTCTTCTCTCGCTTCTTTTTACCACTCATTCCCCCCGTTCTTCACGGATAATCCCCTGTAGTATTGAACGAACGACTCTTTTCTTTACGAAACGTTTGAAATGTTTCTAAAAATATCCCCATCGTTTTGAACATTTTCACCAAATCGAAACAATTTATTTATCCTGAATTCACCGAATATTCTTCATCCTAGCTACGTAATAACGTTCGTTACGTTGTTCTATTACAATTCACCATGTCACATAGTTTGGCTAAAACATTGTAATAATCGTTTGAAAATTCTGTAACTCGCGGTTCTATGGACGCGCAGGAAGTTACGAAGCACGCGTCGCTTCCAGGCTGCGCAGGAGGATATGCGTGAAAGCCCGTTTCCACCGCCATATACCGCCATATTGTTTGCGGTAGTCGCGCAGGTAGTTGATCTCGTTGGTGGTGTCGTTAGTATTTTCTTCTATTCGGTGAGTCCCATTGGGAAAGTTTGCAAACATTTCGCGAAAAAGCAACATGAAGAAAACCAAGGACGTGTCAGACGAGGATGAATATTCCGCGGATGATCCAGAAGAAGTAGAAGGGGTCTCCGAAGAAGAGTGGACTCCCGAGGCCGGAGCTGAAGTAAGCCCACGCTACTAACGCTTTCATCCTCTTTAATGCTATATTCAACATTTTCTTTCCATTATTTTCCATCAACCATCATTTTTCATCTTCCAATCGTGCTCACCGTCGATTCTATCCTACGCAAACACCGTTATACATTGTTATTCGCAAATAAAGACCTGTCACTCGGACTCTCTCTCTTTGCTCGATTCTTTACATTTTTCATCGATCTAAGAACAACAAACGCAAGTCTTTTTAGATCAGAAATAATTAAATTCATCGTCAAAAATGCTTGTGTCTTTCTCTCTTAATTTTACACTTCTCGTTGTTGTCAGAAAAATATCGCTTTTTTAATCAATCCCCTCGAGTAGATAACGAGAAAACATGAGCCAGTTATGTAGTAGTGATCTATCGTAGTCGTGACAAGCACAGTACCCAATATCATCGGGTATTCCTACAAATGCGTTACCGCTAATAAAATATCTCTTTAAAAAGTGTATGGAACTCGTAACGATAGCATACAGTGTACGTAAAAAGTGCAACGTTATATCGTATTTCTTCTAACAGAATCAGTTATTCTTGGAGATACTGCTAAGGGCCACGAGTAATCATTGCCGGCCGGTCAGTGGCGCTGGCCAATGAATTTTTCAAAACAATGCAATTTTTACGTTACGTTTAACGTATACAATTTACATATGTACTTGCACCTTGCATTTTTTTTCTATGTATATTTCGCCTTCCAACATAAATACACTGTTACTTGCGTCATGATCTTAACAAATTCTTCTAACCACTTTTTCATTTCGATTTAATGATTGTTTCAAACACAACGGACTTATCCGGTTATGAACAACATATTTAATCGCTACGTAAATCGAATAAACATAAATTACTGTATAATATTCTAATTACATCGCGGATAACCTTATTATCGTTGTTTAATAATGCAATATTTATTTTTTATTTTGATGATATTAATGTTATTATTTAGAGTGGTGCTAAAAAGAGGCCACAGAGGGAAGTTGCTAAAAAGCGGCAACATTCAGAAGAAGAAGAAGACGAAGAGGAAGAAGAGGATGAAGAGGAAGATGACGAAGAGGATGAAGAATCCGATTCTGACACAGGAAAGAAGCCTAAAAGAAAAAGACGGTCCAAGAAAGAGGAAGATGAAAAAGAGGATGAAGATGAGGAGGACTCTGATGATAATAGCTTTAACGAATCATCGGGAGAAACGCCGAAAGATTTTACAGTGAGTTGGAGTTTATGAAATTCTGTACCTCTCTATGTTACTCTCCCTTCGTAGAAAAGAAAACTATCTCATTTCTATCAATTATTCCAGTCTGGTGCATTCGTTGTTGCAAAAGCTGACATTGGTGGAAGCACGGATCCAACCTTGTGGAGGATAGATGGAAAGGCATTACTTCAAAAGTTTTTACCCTTCCAAGAAGATGGAAAAACGTTATATAAAAGCACATCGACGGTAAGTTTTTACCATAGACACATCTGCTCTGAAATCTACCTATTACTTTTCCATTCTCTTCTCATCAAGCTTTACGATTTTTAGTATTCCGGATGGTCAGTAAATAACAAAGATAAATACTTGGCTGCACAAGTTACTTTCAGAGTGCAAAGTAGAACAGAAACCATTGTTGAACTTCATCTTGATCAACAGCAACAACAACAACAAGAAGTTGTAAAGTATGTTTCCCCTTCTTCTTTACATTACCTGACGCGATATTCTCTTACCAATAATCGCTATTTCTCTCTCTCTCTCTATTTTTTTTTTTTTCATTTTTCAGAGAAGAAAAAGAAGACTAAATATAGATCATGTTTGATCATATTTGTTTATATACATTTTAAGGTATGCTAAGGAAGAATACATCCACATTCACAGGTACACATCAACATTACACAGACATATTACGCAAACACTTCGATGCAGTTTACAAAATGATATTCTAGCAGATTCGTGTTTAAAAATAAGATTGAGTGGACCATGGATCTCAGTTCTTTAATAAAGGGTAGCTTTATGTATAATTGATAACTCTGCCAAATACTTATGGGTGTTTCAATTATCAATCGAGCTATCCCAAAATCTGCGTCATTACTCGATTCCTTAAAAGGTACAATATCCACTCATGTTCTGTGTTTTATAAATTCGACAAAAATCTACATTTTCTAATTCGATTATATGTTATTTTTAAAATACTGTCGTATTACTTCCTTTCCTTTAGGTGATAATCTCAATATAAAAACTTTCAACCCTCCGTTGTACTTTATACATTTTGGTATGCAATGATAAGAACACTCTCAGTAATTAGATTCCGTGTTACGTTTAGTCGTCGCAATACAAAACATTAGATATAGCAAGTGAAACACAGTGTCAGTTACCGTTGTGGTTTTGTGTTCCTATTGTCGTGTAAATTCATTGGAAACTCTTATTATTTTTAATTTTCTATTTAAATCTTGACAAATTTTCGTGGCTATAAATATTGTGTATAATGGATTTATTTTAGTAGCAACAATGTGAATAAGAAATTATTAATTGTACTGTCATCAATCATGTTCGGTGGTATGTCATGTTCGATCTAGCTTTATGGATAAAAATTATGGTTCACGTACATAAACAAAAAGAAAAGAGTAAAAATTAATCGTGTCAAATGTTTATTCAATATTCCTATATTGTTTGTACAATTCATATTTTCTACAATGCTCCTACCCTGTTTGTATAATCTGTGTACATCAAGTTTATCGGAATGTAGGCATATAATACGGAACATAACTTTCATTATAAGTTTAAAGATTTAGACGATATTAGACGATATATACATACATATATCATTTAATATCAAATATAAATTCTGTTTAAATTTGTACTTTAAATGTTTTGTTTAACAATACGTAAATGTAATATCTGTAATTATATCTAACTTAATTACAAAGACTATATGTTGAAATGTAGTTAATGTTAGCAAAAAGTCCCAATAAAACTATGTTTAGTTCGTATTCAAAATAACTTATAAATTACAACAATACTTGAGCATTAACGACAAGAATGAACTTGTAAAATTACAACTCTGTAGTAAATTTTTTTTCCGATTATACAAACAAGCTCCAAAAACAATTTTTTCCTTCATTTTGTCTTCTCCGAAATTAACATGTACATAAAAAGGGTTGAATATGATTTGAATAAACAAATCGTGGTAAATATTTTTTTAACATTTCGTTGTTGTTTTTTTTTCAATTAAAAGTAAACGATCTTAACAAAGTATATATTCTTATGATCAGAATAATACAATTTGTTGAGTTTTATTAGATCGATCTTAGTTGTTTTGCTCTTTACCTAACACACGTTGTAAGTTATGGACCCAATGTTCACATAGATTGTAAACACAATTTCACGGTATCAATATTCCAACAATAAATATGCATAATCATTAAGTATTTACAAAAAATATTCTTGCACATGAAAGAAACTACAAGTGTTGATTCAACTGCATCTTACACGGCGTACGTATAATTAGATTATCGAAAATTTTACAAATATACATCCTGTACGCGTAGGTACTGACATATTCAGTAATTACTTTTTGGCCAGATAATATAAAAATTCTACAAAAAATTGGTAACATAATTGCAGCACGTTGTTAATATGAAAGTATATAAGACTAGAATTTTCAAACGTTTTTCTATCATCTATAGGTACTTAGTATACCTATGCCTGATATTACTTTTAAATGTCGCAAAGTATGAAATGCAAATTCACAAAAAACATTTGAATTGTACATACTTACGATATAATGCATACGCGTATATTATGCGTGGTTGAACAACGATAAAATTATTTATATATTAACATAAAACTAAAATGAAAATTTCAACGTTAAGCAAACATCTAATATTCTAAAAGTAGCAACAAGAATAATAACATACATAGCAATAATTTTAAAACGTAAGGAAGCATTACAATCATTCCTGGTAATGTACGTAATTTGTAAATACAATGAGATAACGAGCATTGGTATTTCATTCACACTTAATAAGAAATAAAATTTGAAATTATAACAAAACATTTACATCTTTACTTATAACTTAAAACAAAGAAAAAATGTAATTGTTATAAACAAAGATGCATTCTTACATATAGAACATAAACATTGATATTCTTTTATGGTACTTATCACTTCCTGAGATAATTTTGTGAACCATTTTCATTAAGTGTAGTGTATAGTGCTTTGAAAGAAAAGAAAAAATATAAACTGAAAGCACTATTTATCTGATGTACGTGAAATAAATAATTCTGAAAATACACAGTTGAAATAAGTTGAAAACTTTCGTACGTCTAAAACATCATATTTTGTATGGAGTGACACATCTTACAATATCACTAGTTGATCATTATCATTATTTGATTATATATTAATAATTCTTTGTACGCGATATGCGTTTTCATTTAAATGGATTTAAATTAGAAACCAGGTTCTAATCGTACAGATAACACGTTACTTAACATTTCTCGAATTTCTGCCATTTCTCTCCTATTTTTTGTTACCATATTTTCCAAATTTCTATTTTCTTGAATAATTTTTTCCATTTTCTTCCAATATTTTTTAGGACCAGAATGGCAGCAACAAGTTGTCCTTTCCTCCGTATCTACAGGCTGAGTTTTCTCAACACAACATTCACTGTTATCTCGTTCTCCTTTATTTATACTATCGTCTACAGATTGCATGCATTTATGTGTTTCTTCGTGGAATGTTCGCGAACATTGTACTACGTCATCATTTTTCGTTTCGTTTCTTAATTTGTCATCAACACTTCGAATTGCCTTTGTGCAAACGCTATGTACACATTTGTGCTTACAAGCATCGTGTGCATTTTTGTCCAAGTTACATTCCAATTCTTTGCATTGCACCGTATCGGATGTACACGTTTTTAAATTGCAGTAGTTTATCGCATCTACATCACTTATTCTAGTTTGACGTTTCAAAGTTTTTCTCTTTCTCGTTAGAATAGATTCGTTACCATATTCGGTAGTTTGGACAAACCCATCACTATGTCTTCGTTCTTGCACTATCGATAACATATTTTCAAGTTTCGTATCGCAATATCCATCGCTAGCCCTTCGAATATCAGATACATTTTGTAAAGTTGCGTTTGAAAGAATATCTTCTTTACAGCTGATATCTTTATCTAACTTTTCATTTTGTACACCTGAATTTTCTTCAGATATTTGTAATGGCAAACTAACGTCAGGATCAGTAAATTCCATACTGCTGTCGAACGACAATTGTTTTGGTAATACATTTTCGACTTCTTTAACATATTTGTGCTCAAATATTTTATCGTGATTATCTACTGTATTATTAGATACTTCTGAATTTTCTACGACATTAGGATCATCATTTGGATTATCTTCAAACGACTTTTTTACGTCAGAAGGATTGATTTCGATCAGGTCACCATCGTGTCCAAATGCAAATGACTTTTGTCCTGAAAATGTTTATGATTTCGTCCAATAGCATAGCATATCGTATAGTTAAAAAATAAAATCTAACGATGATGATAAAGGTAAAACATAATTAATTCTTACCGATAATCATACGTTTATTACGCATATCGGGACTTTTTGAACGTGGTCGTTCCAAAAATTGTCTATTGTCGGGAGACAATACAGAAAGTGTACCACTGCAATGTATTGGGCTGTATTGTTCGAACGAATTGTACATTGCATATGGATCGAGTTCATGACTTTCATGTTCTCGTAAACGCTGCATAATTTTTTGTACAATTTCCGATGGTGCTACGTACGGTGAGCCTTTTAAATAAGAAAAAAAAATGATTGCAGATTGTATTTATTGATAAACAAAAATTAACATAACACATTACAGGACAACAACAATAATAAATATAATAATTTTGTTTGTAAACAAAAAGTGATAACAATATATCATAGTATGCAAATTATATAAACTTTTCCGATTTTATTTTTACAACTAAACACGTTAATATACCATAATTTCAAAGCATAATTGTGATCATTTCACATATATTATACAAAACAATTACACTCGTTTTTCTGCATTAAGTACTTTCACAATGATAATATAACCATTTTTCATGCAGATTATATTTTCTTATTATTTATAATAAAAAGAAATGCTTCAACAAATCCACAAGCACAGATATTTAAGCACATCAAAGAAACAGTCAAAGTAAATACATCATTTCCTACTTCAAACAATATTATATTCAATAAAAGATGGTTTAAAATAAATAAAAATCTGAAAGAAACCTAACTGTCACAAGACTTACAAAATTAATTGGTCCAGAATGTCTGCGATGTGGAAAAAGTCTAGACACAGATAATGTGCCATCGCTTCCTATAAAATTACTGTTTGTGTAATACAATTTATTTTTAACTTATAATAATTTATCTACAAGATATATTCTAATTATTTACTGTTAAATTGAATCACTTTTTAAGTTACAATCTATTCTTCATTTGGTATTTAACTACTGCAGTTTTCTTTGTCAGTTGTTTATAGATACCTTACCTGTCAAACCTCTGTATCCCAAAGACACAGAATCAAAAGATTCACTGGTTTCTTGTTGTTGCTTCATAAAATCATTAATGGCTATGCCTTTTAGTTTTGATGGTTGCAAAAATCTTTTTGGTATACGAGAAAAGGAACCATTTTCTTGTGGGCTGCTTGAACAGCCACCAAATCCAAGACCTAGTAAAATTGCTTCTGGATCTGCCCTTCTTAATTCTAATAAACTTTCCACACTACTACAATGACTGCTATCAGACTGTAGGCTTGGATCCCGAACCAGTTTATGAGGCAATGAGCTATAAATGAATATAAAAATACAATTATGCTACTATAGCTACTCCTCCTTCAGAAATCACATTACATGTTTATTCCTCTTGATTTTTAATACCTGGGTAGGCCTGTTGTATGCATTGCTGTTGCATTAGGAACATTGATAGGTGCAGATACAGTCATAATTGGTTGTTTTGTTCCTATAGAATATGGGATGTCTTTAGGCTCTGTTGGTGTTGATGAAACACTAGGTTTTTCAATCAGTTCCCTTGGATGTTCATTCTTTATAGAAAGACTAGATTTTATAGGTGATGGTATAGAATCAATCCATTGTTGAACAGGACCAGTTTGACGCCTCATTTCCCAGATTCCACGTAACCAATCTGTTACCTTTATAATTGTTTCTTTTCTGGTATTCTCTTGTAAAATGTAAAGAATAATTATTTGAAAATAAATAAAATTAGTACAACTAAAGAAGAACTGGTTTATAATAGATTTAATGATAGTTTATAAATCAGCATACTGTCAAAATATGTATGGAATATATTACATTAACATGAAAGTTGTGTCACGTGTATATGTTATATAATTATGTAAATTACGAATCTTATGAAACGTTTTAAAAAGTTTGAAGAACAATCTCCTAATTAATAGAAATTTTACATGTTTGGGTATCGTTGTACGGTGTACGAAAACGTAATGAAATAACGAACGATCTATTTTCCATGATAAAATACCTGGATCCATGTTCTTTCGGTAGCGTAAACGATACAACATCATTAAAATTAATTAAAAATCAGATGCATTCAATTATATAGATACGCATTAACCAGTCATTGTTTTTATATACGATTGCGAAATTATAATTTTAATAATGCGTACTGTCGATGTATCAATCAAAGTTAACACGAGAAACACAACAAACTACACCTACCTTGAATTTAAGGGAAACATAAGAATAAACAAGATATTCTTGTTCGAATCAAAACGTCTTTAAACACATGTTTAAAGTATCACCATTCTCTGAACGATTTGTGTTCCGCGGAGCGATTGAGAACAGAACAGCCACTTGTTACCCACTCTAACAGTATTCCAGGGCCGTCTTATGCAGTGGTACTTTTACAAAGTTTAGCAGGTATTACATGCATATTTACATATGTAACAGGTTGTTACTTTGAATTTTTGTGCATGTTATTTAGTAATAATTCTGTATAAATTTAACGGGATATCTACGTTTAGAAATAACGTATCAAAATTTTATACTACAGCTTTGTATAAATACTACACAATGAAAGAATAGTCAAAGAAACAATAAACATCTAACGAAACGTTGCTATAGAAGGGTATGCCATGATAATCAATGGTTGTTAGTGGTTGGAAAAATGATATTGTAATAGTTATTGCTACACATTATAAAATCATATTCTCTTCGTAAAGCATTCGTGCGGGCGCAGACACAAACACGTGTGTGTGCTTATGTACATGGTTATCGACAGAGTTTAAACTTATCGTGTGACAAGAAAGTAACCTTCGAATTAAAGAGACTTTCATGTGCGTGCATTTTCCGCGAAAAATTCCGTTTCAAAAGATTTTCAAGTTTCGTAAATGTCATCTCGTGGTAAAAAGAATAAAAAGAAAGTATTAACTAGACGACCTCGACACGTCGTTGGAAAAGAAGAAAAATATCGTCAAGAAAGAGATAAATCAGACAAGGAAGATGAAGAGTCAGGTTAGAATAAAGTGTTTGGTAGGAGCAGAAATTTGGTAGCAACACAGGCATAGCTTTTAATTTTTAGAAGAAGAAGAAAAATGGCTTTTCTCGTTCCCAGTCGCTATGTGGGATCTCGAACAGTGTGATCCAAAAAAATGTTCCGGTAAAAAATTGGTCAGACATGGTTTAGTGAAAATATTAAGGTTAGGAGCTCGATTCTCTGGATTAGTTCTTACTCCGATTGGTCAAAAGGTATCGAATATGCGTAATATACAAAACAATGTAATTTCAGAGCCTCCAAATTAAAATTTTAATTTAAATGTCATGTTGCAGTGTGTAAGTCCAACAGATCGTGGTATAGTACAAGATTATGGTTGTGCAGTGGTCGATTGTAGTTGGGCACGTTTGGACGATACTCCGTTTGGTAGAATGAGGACTCCTAATCCTCGTCTTTTACCGTTTCTAGTTGCTGCAAATCCGATAAATTATGGAAAACCGTGTCAATTAAGTTGCGTAGAAGCTATAGCTGCTACACTACTTATAACAGGTTTTCCTGAAGAAGCGAAATATTATCTCGGAAAGTTCTCTTGGGGCCATTCATTTCTAGAATTAAACGACGAGTTACTAAAAAGTTATTCACTTTGTAAAAACGCGGAAGAAATCATAGCTGTACAAGAGAAGTTTCTCGTCGATGCGAGAGCAGAAAAGTTAAATAGACACGGTAATTTTCTGGTTATTTTTCTTAACGTCATCATGATTAATACGTTATCGTCAGATTATAAGTATAACTAGTATGTGTTCGACAGCTGTTTCGGATTTTCCACCAACCGATTCGGAAAGTGAAGAAGAAAAGGAAGAAGCAACGCCCGTAAAAACAATTTCCCAAATAGACGAACAAGTGAAGGACATGCATATAGGATAGAAATAACTCGGATGCAGTTATATATGTAATTTCTTTGTCTGACCGAAGCATATCCGTTGCAAGAGAGACGTTTGTATAATTTCGATTTGACAGATAGCTAATAAAGTAATTGATAGCTGTATATTGTTCTTAATTCTTAAGTCTAAAGACCGAGGCAAATAAATCGAAATCAACATTCTAAAGTTGTATATCCATGTGAATGTCGCGCTCGCTCCGGACTATTTTATTGCGCATGCGTGACGTATAAATAGTAAGATGGCGGAGCAGATGTTGAGAGTAAACTGGTCCGTCAGTTGTACAGCTGATATTCGAGTGACGTCAGTAAAACAAAGCCATGCGCGGTCGATCGCAGCCGCGAAGTAAACCGAACGGACCAAGTCATTTTACGAACAAACATTGCCCGTCCGTTAAAGAACGAGCTGCGTTCCGTAACATTTCTTAGTTGAAGCATAGGATCGGCTACGGTCTCTGTGTGTGCGATCAGGGCCGTCTCGCGCGATTCTCACGCGACGATGCCGTTCATATCGAAGGATTGGCGCAGTCCTGGCGAGGAATGGGTGAAAACCGTGGAGGGTTGGGAAAAGAAGAAAATCCTCGAGTGTGCCAACAATAAAACACTTTCTCTCCTGCTTCGGTAAGTGCCATTACTGAGCCTCGCTTTTCCCTTTCCTTTCTCTCTCTCTCTCTCTCTCTCTCTCTGGCTTTTTCTTTCTCTCTCTCGCTCTCTCTCTTTACATTCCCAGTGCTGATCTTTTTGTTTTCTTCGTGCGGCATCAGACGCGACCAATCGTTTCCGGATAGTCTGTCTGCCTCACAGCTGTTACATCGATCGAATGACAGTTCTCAGTTTGTTTACAATCACGAGATCTACTGACATGCGTTTTATATGTCGCGTTAAGCAGACGCTTCTTTGACATTACGTTTACGTGGAGCGCAGAACCGAAGATTCGACCGACGCATAAAATCGAGTTGAATCAGGTGCTTTGCAGTTCCTAAGAAACGTCTCCGTATTACATCAAATAGATATCTTCAGCATTTGGTATATAATTACCAAGCAGCTTGATGTGGATTTTTTAAACGATGTAGCATCTGGCGGTAGTTGTGTGATTTCTGTTAATAACTATATTCGTCATTTTTGATGATTTACGCCTCGCATTTGTATGCTGTGTCGCTACATGTTGCACGAACATTTTATAACAATTACAGGTGGAAAAGAAAAAAGGAATTGTTTATTTTATTCTTCTATTCGATTCTGTAACATGTTCGAACTTTTCTTTCCTTTACGGTAATACGAACACAAGTGCCAGAAATAGACTGTTCGTGTTGTTGTTCATTCTATCTCAAGTGCAATTTTCGTTGCAAGATATAATATTTCCTCTTAAATGAAATCTTGGTAATAGGAAAGAAAAGGTAAAGAGGAGAGGGAAGCTTTGTTTCAATGATAGCAATTTCTGTAGGATAAAATTGTGACGAGCAATTTAGTTAGACCGATTACACCTGTATTATTGTAACTACTTCTGTGTCCTCTTGATACTTCACGATGGCAATTAACGGTAGGCATTTGCGTGCATCGTACGTAGCTTCTTGTACAGTGTGTGTGTACACGCTTGCATGATTTGCGCACGCGTGCACGCTTTGTGCGTTTTCCCTTTTGTCTCGGTTCGTAGTAGAAGACAGATGCTCATAGAGAACGAAGCTGGACGCGCCTATGGACACGTTCTCGCGTTCGAGTTAAGCACTGGCGTCGCGAAAGATCGTGAAAGCTCGTGCACAGTGGGGTGCACAGAACAGAGAGAAAGAAGCGAATCGACGGAACTGCATCGTATTTCCACGGTTCCGCGCGCACTTTATAAGAGAAAGGACCCCTTTCTTCCACTCTACGGTAGTCAGAGTAGATAGTAGCGGCTTTTCCCACAACCAAAACACGATCACTCTTTTTTTTCCGCAATAACATTTTTCTACTCATATTCCGTCAATCGCATTAATACTTTCTGCCCCTTTTTTTATTAGCTACGTGTCAGATCAAAAAGGTTTTAACGAGTTGTACATAATTCTAAAAAAAGAAAAAGTACTAAAATTGAAACGAAACTTCATTACAGATACAAATTATTTTTATATTTACCTTAAGCATAATCTGTGCCATAAGCGTGACTATTCGACGATGTTACAAGGTAAAGGAGGATTGTGTTCGAGTAAAGAAAGAGAAAGGGATGAAGTTGACCGGAAAGCGCGGAATCTAGCGCGGCACAACCGACCCTAGTCTTCGTGCTTGCGTAAAAGTAGGTCGTGACCCAGCTAACGCGACCCGTACCAATTTTGTAAATCTTCTTCCGTATCTGTCTGTGTCCTTCGATACGATTCGAGAACGCCCCGTTTCTATTTGCGACGCGAAAAATACACGTTCGGTTTACGAGACGGAAAAATGAAAAATACAATTTTCCTGCATTTTCTATCGTATTGAAATATTGGAATAGTTTGATTTTTCTCGTGCAACTTGCAAAACCAATCGCAGAGAGTCGCGCGCGGGCACGCGGCCACACGTGCATGCACCCATGCGATTCATCTCACGAACAGAGTATTACCGATAGAGTTATATAACGTTACGGATTACTGGCGGGAGGTTTCTCCCGTTGCGTCGCGTAAGCGCATTATCGCAAGGTCTCCCCCGGTGATCGTGTCGTTGCGTCGAATACATTAACATTGGCCTAACCAATGGATTCCACGCTGAAAGGGGTTCACTTGGATCCTCCTAATCGTAAGAGCGATTTTGTCGAATCAACAAGATCCTCGTCGATGACTAGCTTATTTAGTACAAGAGATGAAGCGGAAGAAACTCAAGGAGGAAAGTAACGAAACGGTGTTCGATCAAGGTCGTTGAAAAATCTATTGGTTTTTTCTCGCAAATTTGCACGTTTGCCCGCTTCGAATTGCAAATGGTAGCCGGTGTACGAACAAACGCGATAGATAACGGTGGTATTATCGTTTCGTTTTGTTTCTTGCAGCGGCGATAAGGATGCGCTCGACAAGAAGGAGAAGGATAAGAAGAAAGGTAAGTAGTTATGTATAAGACCGCACGGATTCGAACTACGATTTCCGTTTTCCTTTTCCTTGTGTCACGCGTGAACGAACGCGAACTCGCGCGTATAAAGCGTTGCTCGAAGAAGCCTAGTGCGAGCAACGCGTCGCGTCGTTTCGATTTTTCCTTCGACTAATCCTGTTTTCGTGTAATTTTAGAAAACGTCGTCCAGCCGCATTGCCGCATCACGCTGAAATGCACACGCGAGGTGAGTGATTTGTCTTACTAGTGCTTATATTTAAACTTAGCCATCGTGGAAGAGGGAAGAAATGGGATATGTTCGTTAAGAAAGGGGCGACAAGAGTCGCAAGGTTGATTCGCAACACGAGTCTTTGTACATCCGTAGATCGCTGGTTTCAATGGTTTGAGCGATGCACTGAAGAGGCTGGACTTTTTGTCTGCGGTGCATGATTGCCGCCGCTTCAATTACATCGTCCGACTGTTGGATCTTCTGGTTAGTCACAGGATGGGTGGTCTCAGCGGATGTGCTCAACGGGTCCTTTTCAATATGCTGGAAGAAGTCGCGTTAGAAGGTAAATCTGATATTTCTAAATTTATCATAAATAATAACTGGACCTATCTATTCTGTACTATAACGATCTATATGTTTGATCACAGTATCATTGTCGCAGCAACAAACTGGAAGGCTTCGTCGGTTGATCGAAAGAGTCCGAGCTTTCAGCGCTGGTTGTTGCTGGGGCGGTAGACCATTAGGCTCTGTAATCTTGTGGGAGAAGCACAAAGCTGCTCTGGAAAGAATCTTAGAAATTGCCTCGTCCATCACTATAACACAGGTAGAGAAATGAAGTGTATACTAACCAATAACCAGCTGCTTTAGGCTGTTTGCCAATTGATGATAACTGAAGACGAATCATCGCGTGGCCGTCCTTGGTATCGTTTCAATTTCAGCCTGACGAGGAACAGCAGCCACAGTGGTCTGATTTGCCTGCTGAATGCCGTCGAGAAGTTCTTCTCCGACTGAGCGATCCGCGAGACATCGAAGCGTCCTCAAAAGCCTGCGAGCATCTCGCGATTCTCGCACAGGAACAAAGAATCTGGCGAGAACTCGCTCAGTACCATTTCACACCCCAGCAAATAGCCACTACCAGAGAAAATAATCCTGGAAAAGACTGGAAAGCTATATTCACTATCGCTCGAAGGTAGGTACGAACGCCTGTTATTCTATTTTTACGCTTCGTTAGATCTTTGCTATGAACAAAACGAATGGACTTATAGGAGAATGGCTTATAGGTCGTTCGGCTTGCGAGAAGAATACGCAGAGATGATTCAGTTGTGCCGCAACTGTCGCTGCTTGTTCTGGCGATCCCTCGGTCATCCCTGTATCGCCGACCAGGATCCGGCCTTTCAAGAGAAGCTGGCAGACGTCGATCGAGCTTCTCTTCACGTTCCAATTCCTCCGCAGACCTTCCTCAAGTTCTTCTCCCTTTGAAACGGACAAAATAGTCACGATGTTTGTTAGAGGAAAAGATCTGTGCCAGTCTACTCCTCCACCAATTCTTGGCAAACAAAGAATAATGCTCCTCCTCCTTTTTATTCTCCGAACGTTGTCGTCGAATGAGCTCTGTTCTTTTTTATGTTTTTCATTTCATCTTTTTTTCTGAATTCGATACGAATTCAACTGATATCGCGTCAAAGGTTTCATTCTCTTATGTATAGTTGCGAAACCTTTCGGAGATCATTATCGTGTGTCCTTCGAAATTTTTAACGCGGTCATGCATCATCGCATCCGAAGAAAATGAACTAAGCGAAATGGCGAATTCTAATAATTGCGAATTCTCCTCTCCCGAGATTCAACGAATTTTTTTCAGAGTCGAAATTTTTCACCTTTTTACGGATCCGACGAACTTATCTGAATATGCTTATGTACGACACATCGATCAAACGTATTGAATGTTGATCTCGCCGTAAAATGTCCATGGAAGCTGTTGTTGCGCGTTTGCAGAATTTATTTTCAAACGGTACTGTTCACCGTTCTAGGCAGCTTTACATGTATTTCGTTCACTCATCTAGGTCGATATTTTATAGTTTCTAACAGTTTCCGCAATTTTTTATTATATACATACGTCCCTCGCGTATTTTTCTATTCCATATATCGTTGTCGTTACTGCCGTCGCAATACAGGAACTGTAACAAAATTGACCATCAAGACAACAAACACGCTACAGACATGTTGATCGAGGCTGCTGCCATCTTATATTATAATAATGCCACATTTTCAAAAGAAAAAGAGGTAAAGGAAGAGTTATTTTGGGTATGCTCGTTCTAAGAAAAATACTTGATTCCATCACTTAATGTGCATTCATGACGTATATTCATTTACAATTAGTTGTAATGTTACCGAATTTTTCAACGTCTCATAAATATATAGATCTTAGTATAATTGATCGAGCGATTGATTTATAGAACGTTGAGAATTATACTGCCAAAATCGATGCTGCTGCATTTATTCGAATCGATGTCATTCTTTTTTGGTACATTCTGTTTAAGTACGGTATACATGATAAATTTCTTTTGATACGCTACTCTTTTTTACATTGTACAATCGCGTTGCAATACTTACGCACGTGTATACTTTGCCGAAATAATTGCATCGCAAATTCTATACCATTAACGGGAATGTACATTCTCTGGCGAATGCGTATACGCTACGAGAAGTGCCCGTTTCAGCGTAACAATTTTCAGAAACTCGTATGTTTCGTGATTTTCTTTACCAATTGCTGCCATTTCTGCTCTTAACGTAACATCTTTCTTTACGTAAACAATGTAGAGCAGTGTTGTGCAAAATGCTTCGAAATAAAAGATTTGTTTGTTGTGTGTATGCGTGTATGTATGTATATGTACATACATACATACATGCATACGTACATACATACATACATACATACATATATATGTAAATATGTTACATTTTTTAATATATATATTAAAACTTCTATTTATTATAACATCTTTAATACACACACACGCACACACGAACACCCAACCATTCGTTTAACGTGTATATATACATTTACCTGCATGTACATATTGAAAATCTGATGTCCTTTTCGAAACTTATCCCAACAATTTACAAGACAATCTTCCAATCGATTATATGATTTTATTACTTGGTAACTACGTTTACTTTTAACTCCCTTTACTTCCAACAATTCAGATGAAATGAAGGCTTCCTATAATAAATCGTAATATAATTATTTCCAGTCCAGGATGTAATAAATAAGTTTACAAACTTTTTTTTATATTTGATGCGTATTTTTAATTGACATATACATATACATGTATAGTTAACAAATAATCGACACATTTGCTTATTTGTTTACACACACACACACACAAATGTGTGTGGTGCGTGTGCGTGCGCTTATGGATAAATACACATTGCATAGTATTCATTAAAATATTATGCAGGAAAATTTATTATTAAATGTACGACATATCGCGTTATTCAATCACAAGTCTTTAGTTTTTGGTATCTCCGCGCTTGTAAGTTTCGCCGTTGTAGTGGCATGAATTTCAACATTTCAGTTCTGGTATAATTTTAGTAACAACGTATCTATTCTCCATATTATTCGTTTTATGGTTAAATTCGTTTTTTAAGTAAAGCGCCATCTACGTGACAAATTAGAAAGTTTAACTACAGAATATTGCGCATGCGTAGTTGAGAGATCTAGTGACGCTGTGTCCTGTCGGTGGGTGCCGCGACACTCCGCGGTCTACGTTTGATTCATATCAGATATTTTACAATTTAGCGGAAAGAAATTGGTGAAAATGTCGACGTTACCACACAGCAAGAAGCGTGTCTGCTACTATTATGACAGTGAGTGAGAAAATTCAAAAATTTCGTTACAATTTATGATCCCGCGAAAACATCGTACACGCACGGGAATTGTCAAAATGTGTTTGTGCTATCCGCGCTTGTATCGTGTATCGTACACTTATTTTACGTCAACCGATGCGTTTCTTCGCATTTTTATCCCGATCAGTTCACTTCATAATCAAAAATACCTAAGACACTTTATTTTCTTAAACTGTGCCTATCTTTTTACATCTTTTTTCCAACTCCGTATACGGTTTTCTAGACAGTTGCCGTTCATTCAACATTCAATAACATCTTTTTCTTTTCTCTTTCCGTTTTTGTTAAATATAATTAAATAAATCGTACATTTCTGCAAATTTGTTTCCTTAGCGATAGGTGTTTATGACACTTTGATGATGTACTTATAAATCATCAAGTTCTAATGATCCTAGATATATTAAAGAAATTTTGATTATAAATATTATTTATGTTATAATTATCATTTACAGATGTACATATGTATTGAATAGATTCTTCAAGTTAATCTTATTTATTACTGTTATAATTTTTGCACGAATGCGTCCTATCTTTTTTAAAAGAGGGAAATTTATTGAAGGTTATGAACAAATTTCAAGAAAGTATAGAAGAATCTTAATTAATATGAGAGTAGCTGCACAAGTTAATGGGTTTACCTAAAGTTTTTTGTACATTTAAACAAGACACTGAGGATTGAGTAGAGTATACAAACAAAAACACTTTTTCCAGATGATTTATGCGAAAGATTCTCAAGTGTGCTTCGGTTGACCGTACATAGTAAGCAAAATGTGTGTACACATACATGCGCGTGCGCACGCGCGCGCGCACGCACACCACACACACACACCTAATTTAATCTGTTTTATGCTAATAAAATCGTTACAAATGTACAATAAGTATATAATTTTTTTTTCATCCTTTCAAATATTTTTGTGATATAATAGGACAAATAAAAAAAAAAATTATGCTTTAGGTGACATTGGAAATTACTACTATGGACAAGGGCATCCTATGAAGCCACATCGTATAAGGATGACGCATAATTTACTTCTTAATTATGGGCTTTATAGGAAAATGGAAATATATGTAAGGATTGCCAATTTAGCAAAGTTCTTCTTCTATTATTTTTTCTTTTTGTTTTTGTACTTGTAATATTTAACATGGATATGTTGACTAATTTGGAGTAATATAGTAAAGTATTTCTACTATACCATGTGAATATTAAAGATAATTATACTTTTTTCTTTTTTGCTTAGCGGCCACATAAAGCTACTGCAGATGAAATGACAAAATTTCACAGTGATGATTATATTAGGTTTCTTAGATCCATAAGACCTGATAATATGTCAGAGTATAACAAACAAATGCAACGATGTAAGGCTCTAAGTTTAATATCTATATCTTCAAGTATAAATCATACTGTATTTAATAAATGTGATCAAATTTGTTTTTCTTTTTCCTTTCTCTAGTTAATGTAGGAGAAGATTGCCCTGTTTTTGATGGGCTGTATGAATTTTGTCAATTATCAGCTGGAGGCTCTGTAGCTGCTGCTGTGAAACTTAACAAACAAGCTTCGGAAATTTGTATAAATTGGGGTGGTGGTTTACATCATGCCAAAAAGAGTGAAGCATCTGGTTTTTGTTATGTAAATGACATTGTATTAGGAATATTGGAACTGCTTAAATATCATCAAAGAGTTTTATATATTGATATTGATGTCCATCATGGAGATGGAGTAGAAGAAGCTTTTTATACCACTGATAGAGTGATGACAGTTTCTTTTCATAAGTATGGTGAATACTTTCCTGGTACTGGTGACCTACGTGATATTGGTGCAGGAAAGGTAAAAATTCTATTTAACACCATGAACATGACCTTTTTTCTTTTCTTTCTGGTGTTTTTGTCCTTTTAAGATTATATATTAACTAGGTACTTTTTCTACAGGGTAAATATTATGCAGTTAACATACCATTACGAGATGGTATGGACGACGAGAGCTACGAGTCAATATTTGTACCCATTATTTCAAAAGTGATGGAAACTTTTCAACCCTCCGCGGTGGTTTTACAATGCGGAGCTGATTCACTCACCGGTATAACTATTTTTTACATACATAAATGTATAATCCTGTAAAAAAAGGTAGAAAAAAACTTAAACTGTACATGTATTATTTATAGGGGATCGATTAGGTTGTTTCAATTTAACAGTTAGAGGTCATGGAAAATGTGTTGAATTTGTAAAAAAGTACAATCTGCCTTTCTTAATGGTTGGTGGTGGTGGATACACAATCAGAAATGTATCTAGATGTTGGACGTACGAAACGTCAGTAGCTCTTGGCTCTGAAATTGCCAATGAGTTGCCTTACAATGATTATTTTGAATACTTTGGACCTGATTTTAAATTGCATATTAGTCCTTCTAATATGGCAAATCAAAATACTCCTGAATACCTTGAAAAAATTAAGTAAGTTTTATATTGAGGATAATAAGTGATTAATTTTGTTTTCCTAAATTATTCTGTTTTGCATATGCTTCATATTCGTTTTAGAACCAGACTATTTGAAAACTTAAGAATGTTACCTCATGCGCCGGGTGTACAAGTTCAACCAATACCAGAGGATGGTGCGGTTATTGAAGATTCTGAGGCTGAAGAAAAAGTAAATCCAGATGAAAGATTACCACAACGGGATTTGGATAAAAGGATACAGCATGAAAATGAATACAGTGACAGCGAGGATGAAGGAGAAGGTGGCCGAAGGGATAACAGGTCGTTTAAGGTAACATTCATTGTTTTCGTTAATACTAACATCTCATTATTTCGCACTTTCGTTTCACCTAACAGGTACAATGTTACATCTGTATTAAATACTTTTGTAATTAAGTTGCAATTCTTTTTTATCTAAAAGGGTTCCAGAAAACGACCTCGTCTAGAAAAAGGACAAGAAGGCATAGAAGGTGATTTGAAAAAAGAGGAAGATATAAAATCGGAACCCAAAGGTATATAAATATAATTTCTCTTTACGTTTTACGCGTACTTTTGTTTTTACTTTCATTTTGATAACTAGCAATGGTATTTTCTAGAAAATGAGAAAGATGAAAAAACGAATGTCACAAATGAGGAAACAAAGAAAGACGGTGGGGCGAATCCCTGATAAATGGTTTTTGTTTTCGAACGTTTAAAAAATTGGAAAAAATCCTTATTTAAATCAAGTATAGATAAGTGTAGGTAACTTAAATTATTATTATTATTATTATTTTTATTATTTTTATTATTTTATTCAGAAGCATATAATTTAATAGAAACGTTGGTATATATCGATTGAATTCGTGGCAAGCGACAGTGTTATCACGTACAGACACCTACGAGCGTGTAATTGATATCTCAAACGCTCCGCAATTTTAATTGTTATCTCGTTAAATTTACAGTCATTAGCCAAACTTTTTACATTAACAATTTGTCGAATAATCAATTCTTGAAGTATTTTTGGAATTAATACGATGAACGATATCTTGAGTAATCGGTCCAATTTTGTGATCTAATCAAAGATTTTATATTCATTCGGAATCGGTAAATTTAGCTAGTCTAATGAGACAACCAAGTACCTTCAATGTATAAGGAAAAATTACACTTCTTATGAAAGTTAATTGATATTCCCATCAGGATCATAAGATACAGACAGCTTGCCAAGATATCGAAATTTAAAATTAGTACGTTCCGATAAATCGTGCAAAAATATATAGATAATTATAACAAGCGAAGTTCTTTGTCTTCTTATCCATCGCTCATGATGTGATCTTAATTAAATCGTTTAGTAAGCGTGATTTATACTTAAAAGAAAACGCGATTGTACAACGGGCAAGTATTATGGGTTAACAATTTTTTTTCCTTCCTATTCTTGTACATAACGTAAAATCAGATTTAAAAAAATTCCTACATGCAATACTATATAATAACAATATAACGATATTCTTTTTGATATGTAAAGTATTTTATTTTATACGTGAGCAATCGAATGATCAGCGAAGAAGGAAAGTATGGAGAAATTAAGACGGTCAATGAACACATTGAATTCAAGCATAAGTGTAGAATCTTAATCGTAAATTAAGTAAAAATAACGTTAAGAATCGGAAATTACGTATGTGACTAAGTCGATTTCTATCTGTGTATCGAGGTAGCGAAAGCACTCTCGTTCAAAGGGAAGAAAGCGAATAAGAAAGAAATGGAAAAAAAGGAAAGACGTTTTACAAACGTACCTCTTTAAATTGTTACCCTCCAATCGTGTTATTTTTAACATTTGTACGAGAGTATGCATACATTAATTTTGTGTACATAAAAATTTAACTTTTTGAACCTCGAAAATACTTGGGACAGCAGATTAAATTCGACTAGTTGCATGAAAACAAATAATTGATCGAAAATGAAATATGTCGGTTTATCTAGTTGTAATTAAAACACCTACCTTTACTGTAATTAATTACCCACGACACAAAGACAAATTCGATATAATATTTGCGTACATCTAAGTCGGTGAAATAAATCAAGTACGTT